CGAGGTGCGGGCGCGACACCGAGGGTTGCGATCCCGTTGCCGGTCCCGGTCCGGTACGGCCGCAACACTGAGGGTTGCGATCCGTTGCTGGACACGAAAAAAGACAAAAAGGAAAAAAAAAAAAAAAGAAAGAATCATATTTCATGGGAATGTGTATAAGCCTTATTAGGTTAATCCTGTGTGTTAGTTCATTTCTGTTGATTATAACAGAGTACCTGAAACTGAGTAATTTGTAAAGAAATAGAATTTATTGCTTACAATTTCAGAGGCTGGGAAGTTCACAGACAAGTGAGTACATCTAGTGAAAGCCTCGTTGGTGGTGGCTCTGCAGTGATGCAGTTTATCACCTGGCAAATGGCTGAGCAAGGGAGAGCTAAGCTTCTCACCGGCTCTGCTTGTGAGCCAGTAAACCATGCCCATTACTCCATGAATGAATCAATCCATTCACAAAGTTACAGTCCTTGCAATGTATTCACCTTTTAAAGGTGTCCTGCCTTTCATTTATCATAATAGGATTTCCACCCTTTCAACACTGTCATCGTGGGGATTAAGTTTCTAATACATGAAACTTTTGGGGACACATGCAACCCCTATCATTCATGCATATTGCAGACAATCTTATGTCATTCTCTTCAGCATTGTCCCTTAAAAATGCAAATGATTTAGTGGCTTTTGTTATGCTAAAAGTAATGCATATGTATCAGTATTAAAAATTTTTATTGACAATTCTTGTATTTTTATTTCTGATTTATATTTTGCCTAACAAAAATAATTTTAAGGAGCAATTAAAATGAAAACCTGAATAAAAATGGATTTAAAAAGTAGATATGCATTAGGTCCCGGGATTATGATTATTATTGTTGAAAATAAAATTATGTGCTTAGCTTTCTAACAACTAGGGTAAAAATCTATCATCTTGTTGTATGAGAAAACTCATGGACCACTTCACAATAAGTAACGAAAGGTCATTTGAAGCCTATTTAAAATTCAGAGGCCATTTCCTGATGGACCCATTTGGATCAGGAGTGCCTGACATTGGCACGTGGGATCTTGACACCACTGGTAGAAGAGAATCAAGCAAGTTTGTATAACCTAGAAGGAACCTCCATCTGTACTGGAAAGCTCTCAAAACTATATCCCTAAAACTCTAATTCCTCAAATGTTAATGTCAGCTAGGGGTTAAGCTAATTCAAGAGATTTCTTTAATACTGGACATATAATGCACATTTTTATAATACTTTTCCAATGTAGGTGAAGATGGGATCTTTCTGTTGGGGGCACAGTACTTAACTTATAGTAAAGTAAATACGCTTTAGAATTTAGTTAAAGAAACACTGCTCTAAAGATGCTAATTTAGGTCACTGATTCCGTAAAAATACTTAAAGCATTTACTACTGTGTCTTAGAGTTGGGGCTATAGAGAGTAAAGATACTGCCCCTGCTCTCAAGCAGCTCTTGGTTTAGGTAGGAAACAGTGAAATAACTATAACATACCATGGTAAAAGTTACGGTAGAAGGAAAGCTCCTTGGACCCAGTAAACGTTTGAAGTGAGTGTTGGAGATGACCGGGGTTACTGTGGTCGGGCAGAGGAGGGGCATTTCAGAGGTGAGGAGTGAAGTGTGTGAAAGCACACAGGGGTGAGATGGAATGTCCTATCATGTACTTTCTACATTATATGCTTAAGTTCATAGGACCTTTCATGAGGTTTTCAATTTAGTTGAGAAATAGGTAATTTGATAAATCGTAAATTGTTTTTGCTGTTTTACAGAGCTCGCTCACTCCGCTTTTACTTGCTATACTAAAAAACAGACAACCAATGGTGGAATTTTTAGTACAGAACGGAGCAAATATACACGCAACTGACAACATGAGGAGGTACAGTAGTACATGGTTTTCTTTTAAACTTTAGTGTTGTTCTAGAGTGTTCTAACAGTTACTGAAGCTAGCTACATTAAATTAGGAAGAAGACCACCATATAATTGTTGGGTTGTAGTGAAAAAGATCAACACAAATCATCAGTTAGGTAGAAAAACAATTATGTGGACCAGGCAACATGAAGAACAGTACATAGTAGGGTCATATTCCTGTGCAATACTGACTGGTGTTTGCTACGTGTAAATGATGTTTTTTTTTTTTTTTGTTCTATGATCTTATCTTAGCTAAAGGGGTTTCATATTAGTTTTATTAGCTTTATAAAGTATGGACTTTAACTTTTGAATTAACTTGATGACTCACTGTTGTACTTCTTAACCATTTTATAGTGTTTTTAAAGACTGGTTCTTATATTCTTTCCTCTTAAAATGCTTATTAAACATACATAGGAATTGAAAATCATTTTCTCTTTTGCATGACTCTGCTTTAAATTGCTTTCTTTGAAGAATGTTGACATGAGATTATCCTTAAGTCACTATTAATTGCTATTACCAGCTATTGTAGTTTCATAAGGGTTTATTTTTTCTTTTCATTTCTAGTGTATTTTAATGTTTTTATTTTTAATTGATATGGCAGAGGGAAGAAAGACAGTGTTAGTTGGATAAAGTTTTACTTTAGTGAAGACAAGTCATAGGTGGGTAATAAAGAGAAAAGAGGTAGGCTTTAGATTCACATAAGACTGGGTTTAATTCCTAGCTTCCCTACTTGCTAGGCTGTGACCTTGGGAACATTACTTACCAACAAATATGTTCCCCAATATGAAGGAGAGAATAAATGATATCCTTCAAGGGTGGGTATGTGTCATATATAAAATTATATATATAGCATTCAATTCAGTGCCTAGGACCTGCTCATCAGCTTCATTAAATGAAACTGCTATGACTATTATTACTGTTATTATTAATCTTATTGTGTTAAGCCTTTAAATAGTTCTTACCTATCTGACCCCTAGGTGACAGTGAATTACAATATATTATATCAAAGTAGGGAAGAAATGGAGACTTCTTTACTTTGTTCAGATAACTGACCTTGGCATAGTTTGTTGTCCATCAAAGGACTTTAAATTAATACCTTCTACTATGCAATACGTCAGTGGGACATACAGGCTTCCTTTTTGTCCCTTCCTTTTAGCCTTGGATGTGATTTACAGAGATTAGTACCCACATGATTATGTCTGTTAGTACCTGTAAATGGTCAAGTCTGTACAGACCAGGATGGCATTAAATTAGCAGTGTATGTCAAAGTAGCTTTCAAATAACTTTATTAAAGTTCCTATGGGTGAAGTTATCTCTCTGTTATTTTAGAACAGCCCTCATGTTTGCGGTAACTCACAAATCAACAAAAATAGTCAGGCTTCTTCTTGAGCGAGGCATTAATGCCTTTTCTGAAGATATCTATGGACGGACTGCAGACGTATATGCTGCTGCTAGTGGTCATTTCACGTAAGCGTTTCAGTTAAAATGCTCGTTAACATTAAATTGAGGTTTAGAGTAATTATAACTATTGCATCTTATATATCAGGTGAGATTTCATAGATTGGTTCTGCTAGTTTGGAAATGGTAATGAATTAGCCCACTTCATCAACCAGAAATCAAGCAAAAGGCTAGGCTAGTTAGAAGTAGCAGTGGATGCAGGATTCTTTTTCTCAGGACTTTAAGAATTTTTACCTTCATGGATTCCAATGTTATGTATTTTATTCCATGTATAACCCCTATGCGTGTGGAACAAACAGTGTCACATCTTTGATTTTTCTAATTAGTTATTTGGGTCTTGAAATGCCCAATTTAGCAGAACATCTTGTACTTTTCACTGGGAGCTATCCCCTACGCCACCCCGCTCCTTTAAGTTTCTAAGAACCTGAGCAGTTCTCTAAGTCCAAGGAAAACAATCCACTTTCGCAAGTCCGACAGAGAGGGAAAAGAGGACATTCCAATCGTTGTGTTGCTCTGTTGATTCTGTTGCTGCAGTGTTGCTGTCGTAACTAGTCCTGCAGTTCTGTAACGATTGACCTTTGCCACCACGATGCCCTCACTGACGCAGATCCCTCAGTCATTGTGGCAGTCCATACTTAGAC